GACTTTGCTGTTCGCACGGGAGGTACTGCTGACTGAAGTGATAATGCGATATTAACAGATAACGTTCGGTGCAGCGACATCATTAGTGAGCAGTGAAGCAGAACGGCCTGATGCTGTATCAAGTGTTAGCAAGTCAACTTCGGAAAGAAAGAACCCATTTTTGGATATTGAAGATGGCGATGATAACTCGATTAACATCGAAGATGAGGTATACTGTTACAGCAGAAGTGAATGTGCCCTGTGCTCATTCGCTTTTACACTCATCTAAAATTAAGCTGAAATTTGAAGCCTGATTTATTCCTATCAATTTCGATTAACTAAATATTAAAATGTGCGGAAGTCCTCCGCTGTGTTTCCCTGCAACTCGCAACTATCTGTCAGGCTTTGTCTACCTGAACTTTCTGTTGATGGAACTGTGTACAGAATCGCTTTGGGGAAGCCAAAAAATGATATCTTTTTAATCTGTTATTAAAACGGAGTTGCAGTCAATGGAGCCAGAAGATGTTGATTATGCCGCTACAGCCAGCTATTACAGCAGTCAACCATTCTTCACACATCGACCGGGCCCAGTTTACACGATTCCTGAAGATGAGGAGCAAGATGATGGCCAAATCAACACCGACTCGAAGTTTTACGGTAAAATTCTCCATCGCTTACCATTCTGATAAACTTATAAACTGTACATCCTTTCTGTTTAGAGCAGGTCTTAATTTGTAATCTGAATTTTCATCTATGCAACCAGCAACTTTCCCGTTAACGGCGATCTTTTTCTTTCCGCATCCATATATCACTTGTCACATTCAAATTACTGGACTGTCCGGCTGCCAACCGTCATCGTATATTTTTTTAACACAACGCGGGTAGCACTCAACTATTTACCTTTTTTATTCCCTGTTTATCATCCTTGCCGCATGGCCAGCCGAGCTTGTTCTCCTGGCATGAAGTTTTTTACTATGTCTTTTACATCAAAATATGTTCGTAGCACGGATGTGTTTGTATGAAGAAACAAGTCAAAACCGCATCTGTATTCGCTCTCTATAAAATGTCAGGAAGTAGAAATACAAATGACCTGAGTGGTGGCAACAACCATACGCTGGCAAGGCTGCCAAAGGCTTCCTCTTTTGAGGGTTGCTTAGAAGCAAGCTAATGATGGGTGTAACTTTCTGGCATATTTTGGTGTCAGTTTACCATCAGAATGAACGAACAAATCGTAAAGATTGGTAATTTCACTGGCGGAGTCATACGTTTGACCTGCACAGGAACAGTGTTATTTGCCACTGCGTCATACCTTAGAAGTGCGAACGCTCGGGATGAGGTAGCGATGCTCATCACACATCAAGGAAATCTGTACAGCTTTATCATATGCGTTCTCGAAACATCCGATGAGTTGGAGTCCCTCCAGGAATCATGTTAGAATTACTAGCAGGCTAATCATCAGGTGATGCAACATTGATTAAAGCAATGGGGTAATTGCCATTTGTACAGTCTGAAAACTAGACTGTGAATTACAGCTCATCCACTTGTTTCCTATATTATACAATAAATTATAAGTGAGCGGATAGATACTT